ATGTGTCCCCTGGTCTGCAGCCCCTCCAGACTATCCCTCCCAGGTCCTGTGCTCCCGTTGGTCTCCCCTAGTCACCCCTCTGCAGTTTTTCTATAAGGTTCAGCTTTTCATATAATTAGTCTCTTTAGTGTGTTTCCTTCCCCACCGGTTTTGGTAGTTTTCCTTCCCCCTTAGAACATTAGTTATTTAGCTTGCTCTTCTGGTCTTTAGGGTTTTGCTCTTAGGTCGTGTTAGTTTCCTCTCCCTGATTAGTTAATTGCTTTCACCTGGTTCTCTCCCCACGCACCTGCAGCTTATCTTCCACTCATCATGCCCCAGTGTATTTAACCCTGTCTGCGTCTCTGTTTGTTGTTGGGTCATTGTTTGTGTCACCCTTGTCTCGTTCCCCCTCTCTAGATTTTGGTTTTTGGATATCTCTAGGTTTTGTTATTAGGACTTTTTGATTTTTGTTTTAGGCTCGCTGCCTTTTTGGATTTAGTCTTTAATAAAGGATTTTACGTTATTTCTACCGACCCTCTGTCATCTGGCATCTCTGCATCTTTGGGTCCTAACCTCCTCTTGCTCACAAACGTGATATTGAGCTCAGATGTAATTCCTTCTATGCAACTTTCTCCTTCAAATAACCCAAATTACCTATTGTAGAGTACTGATTGTTGCATTTAATGCCAGAATTGTTAATATTAATAATAAAGCCAAGACACAGTGAGCTTTCTGAAACCTCAGGCTATAGTGGGAAATACTTTTACTGTGTACTGCTACGAGCATTGATTTTAATAAGATGTAGGCTTTGCCATTTGTCCTTACTAAAAATATGCAACACCAATCGCACAGACTGATTTTTTATAGCTGAAAGTTTTATTCTAGTTTTTATTTTTTATTTTATTTTATATTTTTTAATATTTTATTCTATTTTATTCTATTTTTAATCTTATTATTCATGGTATATGTAGCACATTAGTACCGAAGCAAGTTCCTAGTTTGTGAATTGTTTGTTCACTGACAATGGCAATAAACCTGTTCTGATTCTGATTCTGATAAAAATCGCAGTCGCATCAGTAGCATGTATTCACCTGAAGGGGGCGCCCACGTGTAGGCTTAAATCAAGAGGGCTGCCTTTTTCAAATTGGGTTTTTGCAATCTCCTGTTTATTAGTCACTAATGGAAATGGACTTTCAGATGTTAGTTTTCTCATTATATGTAAAATAAAACAGAAACCAATAACTGACCTAATGAAACAAATCTTTTCTTTACACATTTAACACCGTTTCATGATCAGAATAACTTCTCAAACTGTAAACCATCCGACCAGAAAAGGACCTGAAAGCCCAACTGTAAAGGTTCCCTCATGATGCTCTAGGAACACATGGTGCTCAGTTCATTTACAACTCAGCCAAGGTTCCTGTTTTTTTTTACTTAATTATGTTATCATGACCTTGTAGGAACAACTAGTGGGATATTCTGGGATCAGTTGTTTTCTTTTTAAAGGTTTTTGGGTTTTAACAAAAGGGAAACCAATTCTCTTTAGCTGGCGGTGTTCTCACAGAGGAGCCCACCACCTCAGAGGACTTTGTGTGATCCTGAGACCAGATTCACATACTGGTATAGTCACATGGTTACAATCTGAAGTTATGCCCATACTGTGGGCATAGCCTGTTTCTATTTACAGACTCCGAATGAAAAACCCTTTTAAATGTTTTTTTTTCACACGGCTATATCAGACTGTATAATCCAGTCCAATAGCTGCTTTTAGGACCTTAACATCCCTGTTCTAGATTGGCCTGCAAACTCACCTGACCGTAACCCCATAGATAATCTATGGAGTATTGTGAAGAGGAGGCTGCAACACGCCAGAGCCAACGGTTCAGAAGAGCTGAAGGCCACCATCACAGCAACATGGGCTCTCATAACACCTGAGCAGTGCCACAGGCTGATGGACTCCATGCCACACCGCAGTAACCAAGGCCTAAGGAACTCCAACTAAATACTGAGTACTGTGCATGCTCACACCTTTCATGTTTATACTTTTCAGTTGGCCAACATTTCTAAAAATCCTTTGTTTTCCCTTTGCATTGGTCTTAGTAGATATTCTAATTTTTAGAGATGCTGAATTCTGGACTTTCATTGGTTGTTAGTTATAATAATCAAAATGCAAATAAATAAACATTTGAAATGCACAAGTCTGTGTGTCATGAATTAATCTAATATACAAGTTTCACTTTTTGAATGGAAATGCTGCAATAAATCTACTTTGACCAGATATTGTGATTTTATGACCAGCACCTGTAGAAACCATCGACATATAAATATTGGACAATGGGTTTCCATAGACTCCAATAACATGTTTTTGAAGATAAATGGGAGGTGGCCACCACCACCATGTTGACTGGGTCACAGGTTCCATCAAGCACAGACAATTCCACAACAGAGAAGAGAGGTGGAGCTGAGGGTGGGGCTGTAAGGCTGGGATAAACTGACGACACCCGGCCGAACTAGCTACAAGCTAACCCAAAGCTAACGCGCAGGTGAGAGCTAAGCTAACAGAGGTAGAAACCTAGCTACACCCGGAGTTAACCGTGCACAACACCAGAGCTTCTGAGTCAGAGTTACGCCGGGCTGACCGCTGGGTAAAACCGGGTGGAACACAGAGGTCTCCGAGACCTCCACAAGCCGGCAGCCGCACAGCAGACAAGCGCCGCTGCGATCTGAGATGCGCAGAGTTGCCGCTGGGGAGAACCGGGTGGAAAGGTTTCCATCCCAGAGCTCCACAAGCCGGCAGCCCGCGTAGCAGACAGAGATGTGCCGAGCTGTGGGGAGAACCGGATGGAAAACATCGGTCTCCCGAGAGCTCCACAAGGCAATAGTCGGAACTCAGCTCCACCAACATGTTATATTTCAACCCATTTTCTAAAGTGCAGCATTATGTTAAATGCACTGGGTTTTACCCTATTACATTTAAATTTCATGGTTACACAGTACATGTTAAAATCTAAGCTCAGCTCGGCAGTGACCTAAAATACATAAATATAATTTTACTTACCGAAAAAAATGAAGTGGAGACTCCTTGGACGCTCTATTAGTGCAATTAATGCCACAGCAAGTCATTTTGTCCAACAATTGCACAAATAATATCCAAAAAGAACGCACAAACGCTACAACTAATGGTCTAAGTTGAGAGACTGAAAATGACCGAACAGTTTCCAGGCCAGACCGAGGCTCTACTGAGGCCTTTCCACGGAGCTAGCTCTGTGGTCACGTGGGTCTGATGCTCATTAATTATACAGAATTTTAGGCTTTTAATACACTTAAACAGAAGAGGGAGAAAAACATTCACCCCCCTCAGAGTTGTCATGAGTGTAAACTAGATCATTTAAACCAAAAACATGTTCTGGTACCAGGCTGTAAACATGTTTATTTCTGCTGTGAAATTGGTATTTTTAACATGGGAGTCAATGAGGATTTGCTCGCTTCTGACACCAGCCCCTAGTGGATGGGGGTGGAACTGCAATTTATTTCACTTCCGCATTGGACTCAATTTCTGTCCCGCATTGTGGGGGCCTGGTAGAAACGCCCTGAGTCAGACCTGATGATGATTAGATAACAGTATATGGCCATTAGATGGCATCACATATCAGTCCTCTCTCAGTGAGTCCAGACAGAAAACCACTGTTCTATCAGTCCAGAGCGCCATTCTTCTCCAGCTCATCCATCTGCTGCCTCTGGTTTATTTTTCTGTCAACAGATGTCTGTCACTATTTCCTTTGACTAATTGTTACTTTTAACTATTGTTATGGTGTATGACTTGCAGGAGCTCCTGAAGGTGTTCTCTCTTGTTTCTCCAGCTCCACACTCCACCCGGAGATGTCAGATCTTCAGACCAGCAACTCCAGAACATTCCCAGACTCAGGACCACAGTTGTTTAACAAATGTCTGAAGGACAGTGCATGTTAAAGAGCAAGTCACACCAAGATCTACGTTTTTTTGCCGATAACTTATATGAATATGTGTATTGTGGTCTTGAATGACTCCAAGATATTTCAATTCTGTAGCTAATTCAAGCTCTCCTCCATCCAGAAATATGTTGGATTTCTTCAAGTTTAAGGGACAGTTTGAGAAGTACATGCAGACAGATTTGTGGTTTTCAACATAAGTCGCTCAGTCACTCAGCCAGCTATGCTTCAGTGCTAAGGCAGCTGTAAGATATTCTGCCACCTGCTGGACACTTTTAGCTTGTGTATATATAACTGCATCATCTGCATAAACAAGTATATTTGGACAAACTTCAGGTAAGTTATTGATTAAAAGAGAGAATGAAAAGGGCCAAGAACAGATCCTTGATGAGCCTGCCTTGCCTCATCTGACTGTACGTCACTGTGTTGTTGTTGTTGGCCTCACCGTGCTATCGTAGCAACCCCAAGCTACCGCCTGGCTGCCTCTGCTTTACACAGACACAATGATGCAGGGTGACGTGCAGCTTGATTGAATATCTTGTGTGCTACACATTAGAACAATAAATGCATCATGTTCTGATGTCACCCACAAACTGTGGGTAACCTCACTCCTGCCATCTCCTCCTTCCTTACAGCGTCTTTGTATCCGTGTCAGGCTACAGTCCCTCTGAATTCAGTCATTTCTGACCTGCTGGGCTGTTATGTGAAGCAAGGCCCGGACAGAACAGCTGTTTCTTTTCTGCTGTGGAGAGCAGAGTGAGTGTTGAGACCCTCTGCCCACCCTAGAAAAGCAGAGGGGGAGGGGTGTTTTCTTTTGCTGCACAGCCCAAGAGTGCATAGGTGTCATGGTCCTGCCAGTGGAGAAGATGGCCTAGCATGCAACATGACTGGGGCTACCTGTTGATCCTGCTGTAGCTTGGTTTCCTCGTCCTGTTGTTCATTTTCCCACATTCTCAGTTGTGTGTGATTTAGGCCTGACTTGGGGGAGAGGCAAGCTCACTAGGGAGGAGGAATTAGGCAGGGAGCAGAGAGGAGGGGAGGAGAGGGGAGGTACATACAAGGCAATTTTACAGGATTCAACTGGGCCTGGACAGGGGCAGCACTGCAGCTGGAGCAAAAAACAGCGAAAGAGGAGCTGCCCGGAGGACAGTCGTAGTAGACAGGGACAATGAATCAGAAGGCAAAGACAAACATGGCTACCAGGTCTCTGTCCAGTCTCTGTCTCTTCTGCATCTTCTCAGGACTTGCCTGTCCAGCTTCTGCCACCAGGCTTGGGGAACAGGAGCAGACTGCGCTGAAAGTAAGACGCTTCCTTTTGACTGCTTCATGGCTGCTGCATTCGATGTGTCCTTGCCTGCTTGATGTGCTGTTTACACAAGTTTGATTTCTACGTCTAGACACTGACACTTAGTGAGAGAATGTCCCTTGGCAGAGGGATGGCACGCTAGCGCTAAGACACAGATAACTCTTAGTTACGGTCTACACAGCTGCTTTGGCTCTCCGCCCCTCCCAGACACTTTCCTAATGGAAACCAGCTGCCAGCAACACTACGATCATTGTGGCATCTCACGAACTTCATGCAGACCGGCTTTTGTTCTACAGACTCCGCTTCATCGGATGAATAGACACGACACAAGTCCTCCAACACATTCACTGTGAATCTTCCACACGGCCGTCCGCAGGAACATAGCTGTTCACCCCTGAGCCACACCTCTTTTCTTACAGAGATTCAGACTCTTGTTTCTGATCCTAAAGACGTTAAAGTTGTGTAAATGTTAACATTTTCCACCCCAAACTCAGCTACAGCCCTTTCTGGTCTGTCGTAGCCCTGACAGGAAATCTTCCCTTAACTGTCTGAAGCCCATTGTTGGAGGAAGGTGACGTTCTCATGACCTGGGAGCTGCTCTTTCCTGAGGATGTTTGTGGGAGCTAAATCCAGTGTGGCACATCCCCCACAAAGTCATAATAAACACACCAGTCAGCTGAAATGATGTTTAACCATCAAACTTCATGTTTTAGCCTGCTTGTTTATGATCAGAGATGGTGTTCTTTACTTAAGTAAAAACAGAGAAAAGCTTTGTGCAACTTAGCAGTCTTACATTTATCAGTGTGTTCAGAAGGAGTCGGCTAAGCAAGGATGCTCATGCACACCTACCCCAATCTTCAAAAGTCATCAGTGCAACGGGCATTTATGGAGTGATATTGATATTAGTAGCAGCAAATCAGTATTTATACCCTTCCCCTCATTGCTGAACAACTTTTCTAAACTAAATAAACAAAAATGTTCTACACACAAAAGCTATAGTGAGACTAACTCATGTCTTCAAGACGACATTAACCTTCTCTTAAGCCTCATCAGAGGTTTTTAGAATCAGCACGTGTCCGTGTGCGCCTGAAAACGAGTCCCGCAGTACGAAAAGCCTCTCAGACACAGGAGGCGAGGGTTTAGCATCACTCACACGCTGCTGGGAAATATTTCAGCACATCCATGGAGCCAGCTGCACAGGCCAGGTAGGAATCAGACGTTGTTCTGCTCGATAGTGGAAAGCAAGTCCTCCTCTGAGGAAAAGGATGTGTCACATGGATGCACCTTGTGCCTTCAGACGGGTTTAGATGAAACCAAAACCTGTGGAAGAAGAAAAATCTAAAGATTTTAGAAAACAATAGAAACTTCCTTTATTGTTTTCTGGTGAGGAAATGATGGTGTCACTGCAAGAATTACAGTTAATATGGAAGCAAAACGGGGCTAAAAACAAAGAATTAAGGGTAAAAAAAATACAAAACAGAAATAATTAAAAGGATAATAAGTATAAGGAAATGTACAGAAGGTGGTGATCTGGGCGGGAGCATATATACACTATATATATATATATATATATATATATATATATATGTGTGTGTGTGTGTGTGTGTGTGTGTGTGTGTGTGTGTGTGTGTGTGTGTGTGTGTGTGTGTGTGTGTGTATGTATGTGTGTGTATATATATGTGTATGTATGTGTGTATGTATGTATGTATGTATAGATAGATAGATAGATAGATAGATATTAGGGCTGGGACTTGATTAAAAATTTTAATCTAATTACAGGCTTTGTAATTAATTAATCTAAATTAATCACATTTTAATCGTTCAGGAAAATGTGCTCTCAAAGTAAAACTTTTAATTAAAATTATGAGACAGAGAATCAAACATTAGACATGGTTATTACTGTAAACTAAAGCTTTTAATAAAAAATGCATTTTAATTATTCAAATGTCACTGTGTGATATGAAGCAAAACCCAAATCAACTAAAATTTATAATTACAAACAGAAAACACCTGCAAAGGGTTCCTGAGCCTTTAAATAGTCTCTGTCTAGTTGAATGACTGAAATAAATTTGACTTTGCACCAGATTCTAATTTTTCCAGTTTCACTTGTTTGTATAATTGGGAGTTTTTATTAGCATTTCTACTCATAATGTAGTAAAAACACATAAATAATAATCCTTCAAAATGACAGTAGAACAGGCACAAATATGATCTAGGACTTAAATGTACTAACTTTTAACACTAGAGCAGGCATGACCAAGGCCGGATTAACCATATGGGCAACTGGGCAATTGCCCAGGGCCCATAAACTCTAAAGGGCCCAGGACAGCAAGGGCACGAGCAAATTACTGTATCTGTAATCTCCTGCTTTATATTAAACTAGGGTGACCGTACGTCCTGTTTTCCCCGGACACGTCCGCTTTTCACTCTGTCCGGGATGTCCGGGTTCTTGTATTGATGAAAATGTCCGGCTTTTCATCCAGGAGCAGGGATGGGGGAGCTGTATATCCTACACATCCAGGGGAGCCGGAAAAAAGTTTTCTACCTATATTACTATATTATCATTCATGGACACTTTTCAGCAGAGAGCGGCAGAGAGATGATCGGTGCGCAGCGCTCCAGGCTGCTGCGTCCAGCGCACGGTCCATTCTCAAAGTGAATGGACCGTGCCATATCTCAAACCAAAAAACTATAATTAACACACGATCGTTCATGTCCGCACATGTTCTCTACTTTCTGTCTTATTTGCGCCTGAAGCGCTCTGCAGCTGCGGAGCTCATCACCTGTGCTGCGGTAACTCCACCTCACTGACGCATCGAAACGCGCTCTCCGCTTTGTGGTCAGAAGATCCCTTTGATCTGCTCAAAAGTAACCGATGAGGTGAGAAAGTAAGAATCCAGGCAGTGTCATGATCTGCCCCAGCCTCCCTGACTGTGTCTCTCCTGCCCTGATTAGCCTAATTGTTCTCACCTGTCCCTGATTACTCTGCCCATGTGTTCCTGATTCCCTTGTGTATTTATACCTCCCTCCTGGTTGTTGTCTTTGTCGGTTCATTGTCGTTGTCCATGTTCGTTCGTCCTGTTGCTACCGTTCTACAATAAACAACTTTTATTTTTTACATCCGTCTGCCTGCTCATCTTCCTCCGGAACCCACCACCACACATGGTCTGCCACCTCCACCCGCAGAACATGACAGAATGAACCGACCAACCTGGACCTGTGGTGAGCTAACACCTGCTTCTGGAGGATTATTTCTTCTTTTTCTCCCTTTCAGCAGAGGGTGATATCTGGCCTGGAGTTTTTGTGTTCGGCACATCCTACCTGTTCTCGGGGTGGTCGAAGTCCTCTGGGAGATCCTCGCGCATCCCACTTTGTCTTCGGGGTGGTCAGGGTCATTCGCCACCTGCTGTTTTTGCCCCGTCCCGTTCTTCTCCTGAAGCCGCGGATCCTGGAGCCACAAGGGAATTACACCCCCTACGCACGCCATTATTCTCCGGTGTGGTAGGGCTGGTCTCCCCGCTCTTTTCCGGTGGATCCTGGAGCCTCAAGGGAGCTACACCCCCTGCGCACGCCATTGTTCTCCGGTGTGGTAGGGCTGGTCTCCCCGCTCTTCTCCGGCTTCCCTTCACCCGAGCCTCTGCCAATGGACCCAGCAGATCGGGATGTGCACCTGCTCTGATTGGGATGTCGAGTACCTGCCGCCGAGCTGGGCTTCCACGCGTCGCTCCCGCTGCTCTACCACTTCCTGGTCCACGCCTGCAGGTTCTGTGCCTGCAGGTTCTCCACGCAGCAGTTCCTGCTGGGTCCCACGCCTGCTGCTGCAGTTCGTCTCTGTGTTCCTGGTGTCCTGTATTCCTGGAGTCAAGTCATCGTGTCAAGTCAAGTCGTCGTGTCAAGTCCAAGTCGTCGTGTCAAGTCCAAGTCGTCGTGTCAAGTCCAAGTCGTCGTGTCAAGTCCAAGTCATCGTGTCGTGTCAAGTCCAAGTCGTCGTGTCGTGTCAAGTCCAAGTCGTCGTGTCGTGTCAAGTCCAAGTCGTCGTGTCGTGTCAAGTCCAAGTCGTCGTGTCGTGTCAAGTCCAAGTCGTCGTGTCGTGTCAAGTCCAAGTGGTCGTGTCAAGTCCAAGTGGTCGTGTCAAGTCCAAGTGGTCATGTCGTGTCAAGTCCAAGTGGTCGTGTCGTGTCAAGTCTGCGTGTCAAGTCCCCAAGTCCCCAAGTCCCCGAGTGCCCAAGTCCCCGAGTCCCCGAGTGCCCAAGTCCCCGAGTCCCAGATTGCCCCAGTCCCCGAGTCCCCGAGTGCCCAAGTCCAAGTGTTCGAGTGCCCAAGTCCAAGTGTTCGAGTGCCCAAGTCCAAGTGTTCGAGTGCCCAAGTCCAAGTGTTCGAGTGCCCAAGTCCAAGTGTTCGAGTGCCCACGTCCAAGTGTTCGAGTGCCCAAGTCCAAGTGTTCGAGTCCCAAGTCTTCTGGTCCGAGTTTCCCTGGTCTACGTTCTTGGACACATCTGTTTGGTCGTAAGACGGAGTGCCGCCTGAACTGAGAGGCCCCTGCTCCGCAGCCCTGGATGGTGTTCCTTGTTCCCTGGTCTCGTCTTCTGTGTTCCCTTGTCGTGTGTGCCCTGGTCTGGTCTTCGTTCGTGCCCGTGTCTCCTGTGTTTTGTGGCTTGTGGGCGTCTGGTATCCGCCCCTTGTGGGGGGGGGGGGGACTGTCATGATCCGCCCCATCCTCCCTGACTGTGTCTCTCCTGCCCTGATTTGCCTAATTGTTCTCACCTGTCCCTGATTACTCTGCCCATGTGTTCCTGATTCCCTTGTGTATTTATACCTCCCTCCTGGTTGTTGTCTTTGTCGGTTCATTGTCGTTGTCCATGTTCGTTCGTCCTGTTGCTCCCGTCCTACAATAAACAACTTTTATTTTTTACATCCGTCTGCCTGCTCATCTTCCTCCGGAACCCACCACCACACATGGTCTGCCACCTCCACCCGCAGAACATGACAGGCAG